TTGCTAGAAGTTTCGCAGCTACTATTTCTACACGTCATATTCGCAATAGTTAATAAGAGAACGTAGCTTTTGTGACAACGTCATTTGCCTTTTGATGGCGTAATTTTCTTGGATCGTCTTTATTCTACGTATTCATGTTTCATGAAACCGAAAATACTCCAACTACTAACATCATTGTCGTCGAAATACCTATACAATTCAGGAAATTTTTTAGGGTAAATCTCGTTTTTGTACTCAAATGAATGTGGGGTTGTCACATCACGTTGATACATCTAATCTTAAGGTTGTCGTGTCGCATTTATAAACACATCTCCATATTCCCGCTAATTGCTACTGCTTTGAAACAATTAATTATCAGTATTTAATATTTAACCAAATCACAACTACTTTTACGAAGCCATGATAACATTATTTTATGGCAGCAGTGTAGCCAAATGACCTCAAATGGCATCATTTAATATTATAAATTTCAAGTCAAAATGATCAAGGTCAAAATACACGTGTTCTTCAATCAATGACTTCTGGTTGTAACTCTTCTAACGATATTTCAAACTCAAATAAGCAATCATATTCCAGCAAGAACCTTGGCTTTGAGGAACTTCAAATGGGATTTTTTTTTTTTGGTTCTTTTTTTTAAACGCCTTGAAAACATATTAGGCCATGGAAGAAGTGGAAAGACACTCTTATGTGAATTTCGTGGGAAAAACACATTTTTTTAAAAAAAAATAGTAAATGACCTTAAAATCTGCCATCACTTTTTAAAATATGATCTTCAATAAATTACACGTGATCAACATACATTTTATATATAAGCATAAAAAAAATTTTAATTTTTCTAATCACAATGTATCTCGCAGCAGTAGCTCAATTTTGCGCAACAAATTTGATTACAAAAAATCGTCAAATTTGCATTGAATTGCTTGAGAAAGCATCAAGGAATGGAGCAACGGTACTTGTTTCGTGCTTTATTTTCAAAAACATTTTTGCATATCCTCAACTAAATTTTTTTTTCTCTGAAATTATTACACGGTTATTAAATAACAAAGATGATATTTTTTCCTGAAGCTTCAGATTTTATAGCAAAAGATTCTGAAGAAACTTTATCATTGACATCATCAATTAGTAATAATTCATTTGTGAATGATATTAAAGACGCTGCTATAAAACGAAACATTTGGGTTTCAATGGGAATTCATGAATCTGTAGTGAGACGTGTTGATTTATATATTTTTCGCACTTTCAACCTTATTATTCTAATAATTTTTTTTTTTTTAGAGTCATGATCCACAAAGAATTTATAATTCTCATATAATAATAAATTCTCAAGGATCAATAATTGAAAAATATAGAAAACTTCATTTATTTGATGTAAATATTAAAGATGGACCGATTCACTTGGAGAGTAATACAACGATACGTGGAGAAAAAATTTGCGATCCTATACCTACACCTTTAGGGAATTTAGGATTAATGATCTGCTATGATTTGAGATTCCCTGAATTATCTTTAGAATTGAGGAAGAGAAGTGCAGACATTTTAACATTTCCATCAGCATTTACTATCAAGACTGGACAAGCCCATTGGGGTAGATAACCAATTTTCTTTGTTAATCAGATCAATATTTACTTTCTTGATTAATTAACTTTCATGATTTTTTTATCAATGAACATTTATAGAAGTATTATTGCGTGCTAGAGCTATAGAAAATCAGTGTTATGTCGTCGCAAGGTATTTAATATGTTAACTTCCAAATTTGTGATGATAGTTTTTAATTTATTTCGTATGAATTTGTTAGCGCTCAGATTGGACAACATAATGAAAAGCGAGCTAGTTATGGACACGCAATGGTAAACGTTATTTACACGTTTACCTCCGTTTTAACTTAATTTATCATTCATTTCTTATGTTATTAATTCCTTTCGAAATAGATTGTGGACCCATGGGGTACCGTATTAGCCAGATGCTCTGAAACAGTTGAGCCATCGCTAGCTTTTGCTGAAATAAATCTTGATCAATTGAAAAGAATTCGAACAGAAATTCCTGTATTAAATCATCGTAGGACAGACATTTTTAATTAATGATTACGTTTAATAATAAGAGTCTTTTTAGGTTCCTTTTCTATTTTCTTTGATAAAGCATGGCAATGATTTAAGGCATGACGAATGTCAAATATTATTGTAAAATTGGTTTCAAAAGCAAATTTATTTTTGTTAATATAAAATTTTAACGATTCCCAAAAATTAATTAAGGCGAAAGTTTTATTAAATTTACGGATATTTCATGAGATTTTTTTTTTTTTTTTTATCGGAATTATGATAGCGAATTTTGAATTTTGTACTTCAATCTGCTGAAATCTGCTGGTACAATGGACTTAAAATAATGTAATTGTAGAATAAATTTATATGAGATCAATGTTGAAGTTTCGTTTTTATAATTTCAATGCAATTCGAGAATGACAATTTGCAATTTCTTATCGAAATTTTACGTTCCAATGAAACAAACCATTATTATTATTATGAAACATTTATAATATCAATACTGACTTATTTTAACCGGCATAAAGTGGATTATCTCCCTTATTGATTGATTAATATCCAGTTCAGGTGACTTATGCTGTGTCTTAAAGTGAATGGACAGGTATTGGTAGTGAGGAACTATACAGTATTATCGAAGAAGTTTAAGCTCAGAAAGATTAAATGAGGACGAATTTGATCTTGAAGAATTATGCTATCTTTTATAAATTAAGTTCGGTTAATGTCATGTTAACTAACCATTTTTTATGACACGTGTGAACGCTGTAGAGCAATCTCAGAGTTACAACCTATTTTTGCAAAAAAAAAAAAAAAAAATAAAAGTTTTTTCATTCATCAAGATAAAGCGTGAAAAATGATATAAAAAGAGATGTTCAATTTCGCGTTATCATCGTAGGTCCGGCTTTCAATCAACAAGAATGTCCTTAAAGAATAGGAAATTTTTATCGCATCTATTCAAGTTTTTCTTAGTTGTTTTAGGTGATTTCGCTTTGTAAAGAACAAAGTTTATTTATTTCCTCGCTAGTTAACTTTTCGCTCAGGCCCTTCTTAACTTTATTCAACTGTTTTTCATTCAAAGAGAGTAAATGAGAATTAGAGGGAAACTGATTAACGGGTTGGCATCATCAAATCCTATCAATTTCGAGAAACAAGATACACTACGGGTATAAGATAGGAAATTCCGCCTTTTGATTTAGTACCTCGAAAATAAGAAAATAGTCCTTGTACCGCGATGTTTTTATCCCACTACACTATCATGCCCAAGTTTTTCAAACAATTGTAGGAACAAAAGATGGCTACGAATTCTTCATCAAAGGTTTGTAAGAAAGACCCCATCGCACGTGATTATCATTCTCCTCATACAATGTAAATTATATACCTTTCCTCACATAACTTCGACATGTATATGATTCTTCTTGCTAGAAGATTTGTCTCCGTATCTTTACGTTTTTTACTGCTATAGAAGCAGAGCTGGTTTGAATCTCCGTTTCCATCTACATCCATTTCTTGTTCCTCTTTTTGGATTACCGGCGAATTCATTTTCATCTGAAGTTTATTGCTCATTCTCCTAACTAACGATAAAATATTTGATTGTGATGATTTAGAAAATCTTCGTTCGGAGTGCGGTAAATTAACGATAGTGCAGTAGTTTTGTCGTGTAAGTAAAAAATTTTCTCAATACATGTGGAATACATGTCCCAGATCTATTATGTACTTACGAAATCATCCAATATTTGCTCTGGGAATTCATCATTATGGAATATATGGGACCTTTACAATAGAAAAGTGAGAAACTGCTGGAAAAAATAAAAATTGAGTTAATGCTAAATCTGAACAAATTTTACCTAAAATTCATATTTGGTATACAAAAGTAAAATTGATTTTATCCGGTAATTTCCCCCTTCTATTGCAAAGATCCCATATTATGTATTAAAATTTGCTGTAAATAGATCTTCGCTAACGAAAGGTCAATAATAACACCGAATGCTATAGGAAATTCTGGTCTAATTAACGACAAATCCAGCCGTTCCAGATGACGGACAACTTCAGTATATGAAACATGGTAATTACTTCCTATCTTAGATCTATAAAGAAAATAATTCTCTCATCAGCATCAAATACCACCAATAAATCAGAAATCTGGTATTTTTGCCTAATATAAATTCGATATTCTCTCGAATGACATTGATATTGCATTCTTAGTTCTACATATTGCAAAGTTAATTAAGAAAATGCTTTTAGAATGGTCAGTATAACATAGTAAAATTTGCTCTTTTCTTTGGTCCAAACTTATAAAATATTTGCGATTGCTCCTAGAATCAGAAAGAATAAAAAAATAAACTAGTGTTCTTCAATATGATATTTGTATAATGTGTCTCAATAAACCAGTTATTACGAGGATATTCATTGTTCATAAGATCCATGCCTATCGTCAGCGACGACCCCCGGCTTTTGCGAAAAAGCTCTTTGAGAAATTGTGAAAAAAAAACACGGGAATTTACTTTGGCAACGCAAGTAGCTACATTTATACTCAGCTAACGAGTCCGGGCTCACCCAGCCTTACTGGAAGATAAACCAAGTTAATCCTGCCCTAGAGACACACACGAGATGTTTTTCTTTTTAATTTTCGGTAACCCGCTTCCGAAACATACACAAAGCATATTTTTTCAGCTTCTTAGTTAACCGTTCACCTATCAAACACAAATGTTTCTCGACTTCTTGGTAGCCGAACACACGAAGAGTTTTCGGCAAGTTGTATCCAGTCATTTTTAATTGGAAGATACAAATGACGTAATTGTTATGTCACGTGGTTATTCGACCAAGAGACCGATGATTGGATGTATTAGTTTGGCCTATTAGATCATTGTGTAACATAATTTAATCACCTTTATATATACCACAATAAATTACCTCGATTCGACGCTCAATGTCTTATTTAACCAAGTCCCCTTAAATTAAAATACCAGCATGCTCGAACAAAAAAAAAGCGTTAAAATCGTTTTTTCACGCCTTCTTTCGGAACAACAGAGAAAATATTATAAAATACAGGTCCCTTATACACGTGGGTCAATAGCGCAGAATAGCCGCCTCGAAAAAAAGAAGCTCCAGTGTAATGCAACACGCAATAGGAAGCCTAACAGATTACAAATTCGAGAGAAGTTGCGAAATCAAAATACGGAAGATATGAGAAGACCAAGAAAGTGAAAAAGTTAAGTGATGATGATGATGAAAAGGATCAAGGAAACGAAAAGAAGGTCAAGGAGATTTAGTGTTGTCTTCACAACAGTTCTCATTTTTGCCATCAGAACAAGATGCATATGTTGAACCGATTACTGACAAGTAGAGAAGTCACTCTTTTTATTCATTTTATTCATTATTAAACAAAAGAAATATGGGACCTTTGCAATAAAAAAGGGCTGGAAATAAAAAATAAAAAATTAGTCAATGACATATTTTGACCTAAAAATAATATCGGCATATAAAAATAAATTTGATTTTTTCCGGCAGGTTCTCCCCTTACTATTGCAAAGGTCCATATATTCCGTGAGAAAATTTGTATCAAAACGTAAACCGCCGAAAAAGGATGATTTTTCAGATTCAGTTCTTTTATGTCTTCTTAACTTTATAATCCAAAATATAAATTTATTTACACTTGACCAAATGTTATTTAATGGATCAAACATACCTAAAGGGGAGGTGGAGCGATGAGAAAATATTAAGATTTTTGACATTAGCACTAGAAGTGATTGTGTGTCTTGGTAAGTTTTAAATGGTCATCCTTACAGAATTATTAGAACAATTCTTATTTTGTGTAACTTTTATTGATAATAGGAGATCAAGATGCACTCAAATCACTAAGAGAAATTGAGTGAAATTGGAATATGGACTCATAGATCGATGGATCTCAACAAGGAAGAGAAAGCGCGAGGAAGATGATAACGAGCGTAGCTTTAAGAAATTGAGTACGGAAAATTAAACATTGTCAACAAATTGGAAATAATGAGACGAATAGTTATAACTAAGATGAGATATTGATGAATATCTGGGAAAGTTTGACGAAAAAAAGATGAAGATGCAAGAATTAAAAAGTTCGTGACTCTAGCAAATTACCTATTTGACATGGTGAATACTCCAGATATTTTTTTCAGATGCCCGTCTATATAGATTTTAATTTTGCAATATCATATTCACAGCATCTAAAAATCAAAGTGGTTGAGACACAACAACTGTTGTAACGAAAATTAAAAATATGTATTACAGTATTTTTTATGATGCTAATTTCGATTGATAATTGATAGGTACGAACATAGTAAATCATATGATCCGTAACGTGAATTTAAAAGAAAACCTCAATTGATGAAAATTTTCTTAGCTATGCTAATGCTTGATATTATTAATATATTCATTTACAATTAAAAATAAATACACCACGATTGAGTTCACATGATTCTGACCATTGTATAGTATATATTTATTATATGGGACCTTTGCAATAGAAAAGGGGGAAACGGCTTGAAAAAATAAAAAATGAGTTAATACTTATTCTGAACATATTTTGACCTAAAAATCATATTTGGCATATAAATGTAGAATTGATTTTTTCCGGCAGTTTCTCTTTCTATTGAAAGGTCCCATATTATCCAACGAAACTTTATTAATTGTTTTAATATGCGTGCGCAAACGAAATATCGCGTCATGCTTTACAATTCTGTATATAAAAAAAGCAGATTATGACATTTACTCAAAATATCATCATTACGTGATATGCTATGCAGTAAAGACGAACGTTTCTTCCGTAATGATCAACCTCGTCCCAAGTAATTTAGAAATTCTCAATGTGATATGCGCGAAGTTTTATTACTTATTACTTATTGATTCCTTGGGCTTTTGAGTAAATTAAAAAGTAGATATGATGGAAAATAACAGATATAATGGGAGTTTGATTGCCAATAGCATCTACTTCGAATCTAGTGTCTAAATCTTGGACGTATCAAGAATAATGGTAAAATTTTAAGGTCAAGTGTTCACAAAATATGGTTATATACGAATACATCTTAATATTAATGGTGTCAGAACTGCAGTTCATATGTTAGTTGCACAGGCATATATCTTTACGTTAATTATATTAATGGCACGAACATGATAATCGGGCTATTAATTTGGAAAGGGTAACTCCTAAAGAGAATGCTGAACGTACAGTATTCCCAATCCTAGTCATAGTCTTGCTAGTTATACACTTAAGATTTCAGGACCCCATAACTCTCGATTTTGTAGCAAAAAGCTAAATACTAGGGTGGCATTGGATGTATTATGAAGATTATATAAAACTGAATTCAAATGAAGAATGGAGAGAAATTATCGATGCAGGATATACCGTGTTCACCGCTTGGTGGAGTTAGTATTTGCCTCAGAGAAAAAGGAAAAGAATATGTGAACCTTATTGATGAAAAATATTCACCAAATCTTGAATTGTGTTCACAAAAGAAAATGTACGTCTTGGGCTTGGACGCAAACGTGTCGTAAAACAGATTTTTGAAAATGGATCTTTTCGAGTATTCCCGTTCATAACTGAAGCACGACGGGTAATTTAAATTAATCATATCAGGTTTAGTATGTTAAGGCATGCAGGAGAGTATCGTTGGTAATATATGTGGATACAATGCAATAGCACTTCATGGGTGGATATCACTATATTAATGATACCGGCACTTTTACAATACAATGTCATGAATCGACTTCAGCCAAGAATGTTTATTTTTCTTATCAAAGACTCCACCTATATGACAATGTTCAAAGTTAAGTGAAAGGTATCCAAGTTTGTTAATTCTTTGCCCTTAACAATATCGTCTCCTAAATTATTTAGGATGCCACAAGCAAAGTTCGAATGTTGGAGAGAGACATTTTACATAGCATTTCGAATAAATCTTGTCTGTTTTATAGCACTTGAAATTCCGCAAGTCTCCGTATCTCCACCGCCTTTCATTATTTCGTTAATCACTCTTTGCAAATCAGGAGATTAGCATTTCCAAAACCCCACGCGGATAAATTTTCTTGGATAATTAGCATAGAGATAAACGGAAGGAAAGATTTTTGGAGTAGTGAAATCTACCTATTTTTCAGTAAGAATTTTTCCGAATCTTACTGCGCATTTCAGATGATCGATAGTTTCGGCAGATTTTGATGGTTGAGTCGTGAAACGTTTTATTTGAAATTTACTAGCACATAGAATACGCGAATATCTCTCTGAGAGCAATGAATTACTTGTATTATAAGGTTATTGATTACAAGAGATTGAAACTTTTGGATGCTTGATCCTTAATTTTTGTAATCTAAATTAATTGAATAAAGTTTTGAACTTATGCAAAAAAAAAATTAATTAATAATTATATTTATTTAATGTATAAATTAAAATTACCAAAATATTAAATCATATTTAAAATTATATAATGTTAAAAGATTTTAATATTTCAAATAATAGTTTATAAGAAGTATCAAAAACTTATAGAACCTATATACTAAAAATTATATATTTAAATTAGTCTTACATTAATAATAACACTTTTTTATTTGGGTTAATTTTATAATAAAATATGTTTAAATGTTAATACAAAAGTTAAAATCTATTATTATTATTAAATTTATGTGTATTAAATTGGTTTTTATAATAACTAATAATTAAAAAAGCTAATCTAAAATTTTGAATTTAAGATAATGATATAAATAATAATAAAAATAATAATATTTATAATATATTTATTTAAAAATTTTATCATTAATATAATAAAAGATAATATTATACCAATATTTAATTTAAAATAGAATACTAAATATATTAATTATAGATAATATTTTTAATAAAATATTATATAAATCTATATTATCAAACTTATATATTAATTAATAATCTTTTAAAATCTTTTATTATGCTAAATAAATAGAAAAATTATAGTTAAAAAAGACTTAATGCAAATAATTTTAAATATAATTTAATAAATAAAATAATAATATTAATATTATTTTTTTTAAAATTTAATAAATAATATATTAGATGATTAAAAATTATTATAAAAAATAATATATAAAAATTGTTATATATTTTTTTTTATAATATATTTAACTATATAATTGAATGTTATATAATTACTTTCTTTATTAATATACTTTTATAATTATTAAATTTATAAAATTAATTTAAACAATAATAAATTATCTTTATATTATCTTATAATTCTTTATATATATATATATATATATATATATCATTTATTAATAATTTAAACATTTTTATAATTACTATAATTTAGTTAAAATATAATTTTATTCAAAATTATTATATTTATAACATATAATTATTATATAATTCCTTTATGAAATTTATATTAAATATAGTATACTTTATAAAAGTAATTTTTTAATTTAATTTTCATATAACAGTTATCATTAAATAAATATTTTGCAATAAAAAAGGAAGAAACTACTTAAAAATTTTGAATTTATAAATTTATAAACTAAATATAAATTTTTAATAAAATAAACTTAGATTTAATATTAATTATAAAATTATAATTTTAGCTAAAATTAAGATAATTAAAAAAATTATACTTTATATAATTATACTTTTATATAACTATTATTTTTAGGAAACTAATCAATATTATTAGTTTTAACATTTAATAATTTTTTAGTAATTTTTTAAATTTTAATGAAATGTTCTTTGATAATTAAACTAAAAGAATCAGATTAAAATATTTAATAAAAGAATAATTCCTATAAATTGTATAAAGCAAAATAAGATAATTATCATTATCAATTATATATTTATTAAAAGAAATTTTTTAAATTTTTATTGTTATTAATTATTTAATCATTATTTGATTTAAATAAGATTTATTTGAAAATTTTAAAATTTTGATAATATGATAGATTTAATTGACTTTAATTCTAAAATTAGAAATATCAATTATATATTTTTTAAGTTATAAAATTTTAAGAAATTTAGCATATTCTTTACATATTTATAATTATAATAAAATCTTATTATAAGATAAATAAGAATATTTGTATTTTCTAATACTAAAAAGATTTACTTATAAATTTTTTAAAAAGATATAATCAAAAAATAGAAAATCTTCTAATTATTTAATATATTATAAATTTTGAATCTTAATTAATTTAAAGATTTTATTATTATCTTTTATATTTGTATTAATAATGATATTAATTAATAAAAGTATACTAAATTATAAAAATATATATGATCAATATATGAAAGCTAAGCTATTAAAATTTATCTTATAAAATAAGAAAATTAATAATAATCAAAAAATTTTAAATTATAATAAG